ATATATACTGTATATTATAAATTAATTGATTTAAAATATGTTTTTTTTTGCACAGTTCTAACCATGTTTCAAAAATGGAAGCTAACCGCTCCGAATTTAATTTTGTAATTAAATTGAAGACATTAGATCCATTTCATCCTCAAGCGAAAATAAAATATCTATAAGAACACCAGATTATATATCTTACTGTTTTTCTTTTTATATATACATATATTACTGTATATATATATATATATATATATATATATATATATATATATATATATATATATATATATATATATATAGCTGGTAACTGAACAGAATCAACTATGAATACTGCAGTAATACTCTGAAATGCCTATAAAGGAACAGTTTTTTTTCATGCTTTAATGCGCGTGACCATAACATTATAACCTAGAGAGTAAAAATTCCATAATGGATAATATTTTCACGTTCTAATGAACGATCAGCATATTGTCAACCGTTTTGCATTTGAAAGCATAATGAAAAAATTACGGTGACAATGCACAACTTTGCATAAATACTTATATTAATGTACAACATATAGTTTTGTATTACTTGCATCCCTGAAGATGATCTTTGAAAAAAATCGAAAGTACTTGAGAAATTAAAATAAACAAATTTAAACAGCTATACCACATTTCTCTCAAACTTCAACATCAATACACGGAAGGTTATATATATATATATATATATATATATATATATATATATGTGTGTGTGTGTGTGTGTGTGTGTGTGTGTGTGTGTGTGTGCGTGTGTGTGTTTTGAACAATAAAAAATATTAAAAAATTAAATTCTTCGGACACACTGGGTTGTATATTAATATTCATTCGTTTTTATTATTTCAATTAGATTTCACGACTAGTTTCAGCTAACATGGCCATCATCAGGAGAGAAGAAATACTGAAATAAATGTCTTGATGGAGAAAATTCACTTTTGTTTTCATTTGTCTAATTTTTTAACATAAATTTTGGTCAGACCTTGTGTTGGTCAGTCTCTTTTAAGTTGTTATTTAAGATAAGAGCTGGATGAATTCAAGCTGCTAAGAATTCCCCTTCTCATATATATATATATATATATATATATATATATATATATATATATATATATTTCAAATATGTCAGACAAGTAGGAGAATCCAGTCATGGCCGTCAGATAATTTCTGCGACCATATCACCCTTACATCTTATCTTTCGCACCCTATATATATATATATATATATATATATATATATATATAAGTTTATATATTTATGAGGAAAGTTTTCTTGATATCGTTGTTAATAAATTGTTTATAGATATAGACAGTGTGGACATAGGAATCACCACTGCATAGTGATTGTCATTTTCACGCGTCAAGCAATTTTCAGATGCTGTGTTTGTTGGGGTGTAAGGAGATATTTGGATGAGAAGTATAAATAGACTGAAATCGGTATAAAATAGATCACGAAAAGAAATCCCCGTAGACATCACTGGAAACAACGTGTGTTTCATATTAAATATTTACCCACTAGACAGGCAAAAAAGATAAGCCATATTTTTAATCGGGAAACACAAAACGAAATAAAACTTAAAAGTTTAGAATAACTGCTATGGTAATTTACCCACGCACGCATGGACTCTCCCAGCTATAAATAGGAGCAGGCGCTACCTTTTTGAGGGTGTAGTTTGCAGCAGTCAGCTCTGTCAGTTGGACCGAATATTCTTACTGTAACTCTATCATTTGTATATGTTTGTATTACTTTTCCTGTTAATATATTTGTTTAACTCAATTCCTCTCTTGTGTCTTTATTTCTGGCCTTAACAAGGCCACAACAATAACAAAACAGTTTTATTATTTTAATTACTTTTATATCTTTAATTCAGTTATTCATATCTTTTATATCTCAAAAATAATGTTCGGATATTATATTTTGTCTTATATTTTATACAATTTTCTTTTTATTAACTTTTGGCATGGCTTGTAACTGGTGTAAATTCACTGGAGGAGAACGTATGACTATAAGTATTCCTCAAGTTTCTATAAACCTTCGTATTTGTGCTGATTTAACCAATGCCGTTGTGTAGATTAATTCATCAATCGATAGAGGATACATTACAATCTTCAGGGACTGCCATGTCAATAAGAAAGCACATAGACGTTGATATTCAAAAATACGAAACCCAATATACCTGTCATGACACCCAGTTCAATAAAGCTATACCAGGCACCACAACCAAATGTGCGTGGTATGTTGACAGGTTTTGATTTAAAAAAAGAAATCGCATAACCTTGTAGGTGCGGCTCAGTTAGAAATACTTTCAGTTCGGATAACGCAGTCCGCTCTGACAGTTTCCGATGAAGTAAGAGATGCCACATTTAGTTGATCACTATCTCGTGGTCATTGCATGCATGCATCTATCTATCTATCTATCTATCTATCTCAGTCTGTCCATATCTATCTATCTATGTATCTATCTATCTATCTATCTATCTATCTATCTATCTAACTAACTATCAATCTAAATATGCATACAAACATAAATGCACCCACAGACACATACGTTTAAGATTCATCTTCAGAATAAAATCGACGGAAAAAGCAAGATGCAAATGTAAAGTTTGGTTTGAATATGTGAATAACCGCCGAATTATTAAAGAACAAAATAAAATCCTTCTCTTATTTAAATATTGCTTGGTATGCTGATATATGCGGTATGCATTGAGTTCTCTGTCATTATTCCGTGTGCTTTTCGAGTTTGTCGTTCAAAAGCCGGGAGTAATGGAGAAATGTTTTCATAATGTTCATTAGTTTTCCAAGAGAATCACATGTATTTATAGTAACGCAACCTAATAGATGAAAATATATTCTCTAATTCTTCAGTCGGAGGGTTTGAATAATTTTTCACCAACACGAAGAATTTAATGAAAGAAAGGGCAGAAGTCCAAAATAATGTATGAGAAAGAAAGTAGTCGAGGATATTAGTCGAAACAATTTAAGGAATTTTAATGTTAAATATATCTCTTAAACATTGAATATATATATATATATATATATATATATATATGGAACCTTAAAGTTGTCTGATTTTATTTAAATTATTTGCTCTGAATTTACGTTGAGCTCTCTGGATTTTAATCCTCCTTAGGTTTACCCATACAGATTACCTAGTTTTTTTCATAAACTATATATATATATATATATATATATATATATATATATATATATATATATATATATCTGACTCTCCCGTAGTTATACAACGTATGAGGGTCAAGCAGCCCCTAGGAACCGAGAGCAAACACCAGGACATGTAATTTGATTATAGTGGTGAAGGCTTTGTGCAGAACCAAACACACTTTTTGAAGGGCCGTATACAGAGACTTGGTGTACTACGCGCCACAAGGCTCCCAAACGACTCTTCGCAGCCTTTCTTGCTATTTACCCATAGATGCGGGGAGAAGAAAAGGATTCATAACTTCCCCAAGGGTATTAGTACGTAAACTAATGTAATGGATTTGACTGGAATTCGAACTCGGCTCCCCGATTCATCAATCCAGGCCGCTCCATTACTCCACCATGGCTCCTAATATATATATATATATATATATATATATATATATATATATATATATATATATATATATATATATATATATATATATATATATATATATGTTTCATTAAAGACGACAGACAAAGGTACTGCGATTTCGGCTACTGGTAGAAAATACAAAGAAAATAACCTCATCCACGTGTAAAAAAAGATTAAAAATAATGGAAGCCTTAAAAATAAAAAAGAAAAAGCCAACACACAATAATATTTACTACGAACCCGGCCACAATGTGCTGTGTTCGGAAACTAAAACATCCCTATAAATCTAGAAACTTACACACAAGCCATACACGCAATTATAAAGCAAAAATAAAATCATCCTTGATAATAGCTAAAAGTATAACCTAAAGCACACGGGATTATAGAGCATTTGGACAGTTTCTACACACACTGTGTCCAGAAAAGAAAACACATGTTTGAATACAAGAAAAATTAAATAAAAAGCCTAATCGTAGTACCTTGTTTATCGTTTTTAATCAAACATGTATAAATGAAGGTTTGCTACCTAAATACACTATGTATGTGTGTGTGTGTGTGTGTGATTGTCGCTATTTTATACTTTTAATTTCGCGCATGAGTGTTGTTTGTCGTGATTTTGTCTTTTTGATTTTTGATCAAGGTAACATCCTCTTGGGAGTCTGTCCCACAGAGGAGTGGTCAGCGGGAAGAAGCTGTTCGAGTAGAACTTAGTTCTCACCAATGGAATACAGAGGAATGTGCGTGGTTTGCTTATATATATATATATATATATATATATATATATATATAGTACATGATTGGTATACGGAATAAATTCCAATAACCAACAATTACTATTCTTATTTATGTTATAATTTTTAAATAAATAATTATATATATATATATATATATATATATATATATATATATATATATATATATATATGTATGTATATATATACGAACGCTCGTTTGTAAATTTGCATATACTTATCCATTTGGTTGTTATATATATATATATATATATATATAATTAAAGTACTAGCTACACTATATGTGTGTGTGCGTGTGTGTGTGTGTATACGTCTGTGTGTTGAAGAATTTTGTATAAAAGAACGAAAATGTATATATGTTAAGATGTCTGACAACTGCCACATTCAGACTATGTGCCAGTAGCCAGAAAAATATGCCTGATGAACGATTAAATTCTTTGAGATCCGTCCCACAGCGGCATACCAAACGATCCTTTTTATCTTTATTTTTTTAAAATTTTCTAACTAAAAAGCTTAAACTGACTGAATACCTTATTTCACTCACATTCCTGTCTTTTGATAATGCCCATAAATTCTTCACAACTCACAGCCAAAGAATTGTCAATGTATTTTATTCTATAATTTTATTAATTTGATTTAATTTTATATAACTTTTTTTATTCATAATAATACATTTCATATAATTGATTTTATATAATTAATTTATATAACTTTGTATAACATACGTGTTATTAACCCTAGAACACTAACCATGGGTATATAGTAACCAGCACAAATTTTCCTATTTTTAATTACAATTTTGAGTACATGATTTTCTTACCTAAATAATATTTTCTCAGTTCCTATTAATGTTAACTCAAAGTACAAAGTTTGAAGTGCCTGCATGTAAAATATTTCAAATAAAGATTTATATTTAATTTTTTTTTTTTTTTTTGATATTTTCAAAATCGGTTATGATATACCCATGGTTAGTAGTAGTGTAACTTTAATTTATGGTTAGTGTTATCGGGTTAAAATAAAATAAATATTATATCATTCATTTTATATAATAATTCATTTTATTAAATTCTACACAACCAAACTTTTTATTGGCTGAATTGTACAAAGAATGAAAGCAATAAATAGTTCTGGTCAAAATTAGTGGATTTATTTCGCAGGAGCCGGGAAGCTGACCCGTAGGTGATCGTTCCTAGTTCAGTTTCATGGAGAAGAGGCTGTTCTGTTTTGGGCGTAGGGTTTGAAACTCCCAGTGACTAAGGAATAAACATCACTGTTGAAACTTTCCGGCTCACTGCAAGTTTATTTATGATACGAGCAAAAATGTGATTTAAAAATATTGTTTTGGTTGTTGCATAAACACAATAAAGGAAGCTACGTTGAGATTTAAATCAGTTATAGTCTAAAGAAATCTTTTTTCGACAGAGATTTGTTCGAAGCCTTTATATCCTACAACGTTTATGATTTCTCAAAATTAATAAGATGGGCCAATAGAGAAAAAAATAATAATTATTCAGCGTTAAACTGATCTATTATTATTATTGTTTTATTGATTTCTGGTGTTTACATGAGATATCCCACTGAACAATAAAAAAAAGGAAAAAAAAGGAAAAAAAAAGGACAAAATACAAATTTTACATAGATAAATCTCTTCGTAAGTTGTGGGTTGTACTCATGAGAACATTTTTTGTATATCTTTAAAGCATGATTTATTTAAACAAAGTAACTAATAATAACAAAAGCAAAATGTCCTTAGCAACTGGAAGAATTTAGAGAACGCTATTTTCATACTGTTAATTCAAAATCACGTCAATTACTGTCACGTGTGGAGATAGTTACTATTGCTGTGTTGCTGCGATTCAACCATTTTCTTTTGGTTTCACTATATTGTTGTGTACGTTTGTTTGGGAGAGTAGTAATTCTGTTAAGAAAGGTGAAATAGGGAAAATCCTGGGCGTAGATTAATATTTAGGTAATATTCAATGGCGGCGCTCTCTAGAATTTTCCTTCTGAGTGAGTCATTTTCTTTTTTTTTTATGAGTGTAGCATTTTTAAAATCAAAATTGTGGTTGAATTTATTTCTCTGTATGAATAGTGGATTAGCTAAGTTGTTTTTTGTGAGGTATCTTTTGTGCTCATAAATGCGTTTTTTTAAAAACTTCTACTTGTTTCTCCAATATATTGGGAGAAGCAGTTTTGGCAATTTATTTTACTTTTGATAACGAACATTGCAAACAGAAATTTGGTTTACCAATGGGATCTCCTCTCAGCGGCGTTCTTGCTTGTCTATTTTTAGAATTTCTAGAAAGTGACTCATTCTAAAATATTCTCCCTACAAACTCTTCATATTTCAGATACATAAACGACTCGTTTTTAATATATCCCCAAAACACCAATTTAACGGATTTTTTCTGTCATGGGATTTCTCGTATTAAATAAAATATATAACTATTTTTATTTTTTATATATATATATATATATATATATATATATATATATATATATATATATATATATAGTTTTAAATGTGCTATATTTAGGGATAAAAAGCGTGTTTAAATACAAATATAAAAATGAACACTGAAATCAACATTCAGAGGCGACAGGCTGTTTCATGCTAGACGCAATAAGGATTGAGTGTAAAAACATCCTGTCGCCTCTGAGTGTTGACTTTAATGTTCTTTCATATATATATGTGTGTGTGTGTGTGTGTGTGTGTGTGTGTGTGTGTGTGTGTGTGTGTGTGTGTGAAAATTAATACAAATAAAAGTGTTGTCCCTTAGATTGATGATCTATGGCGGGAGGACACGATTCTTATTTTCCGTCTTCTCTATTCGTCTTGTGTTTTGAGGAAATTCCAGTATTAAAGCATCACGTATTTTTCCTTGACGATATGCATACTAACAGTTGGCGTATATCAGATATTTATTATGCAAGTCAATGTTTTCACGAAATATTTAACCTAAACTAACTGACGTCACTAAACATTTCAGGATGTATTTATATGAGCAATCTGTCGTGTGATTTTAAAATACATAAAATATCCTAATTAAAAAATCTTGATGACTTCTTTTGGCTAGATCCTTAGTTTTTATTATGCAGTGAATTTTTTATTAAGTGAAACACGAATTTTTATTCAAAAATAAACCCAAAAGATATCGAGCATAGA